TAATCCTGCATAAATATGTAGAAACATGAACTACTGGTCCTTACTAGACTCGTAGATGTGCCAAGGAGATAAGATAGCCTCAGTAGAAAGGATAAATCCTGTGGAGTGAAGCCAAGGACTGACTGGCTATGACAATGTTAGTTGCAGGTCTTCCCCCATCCCCCTCAAATCTAGGAAATGCCAAGCAACTTCCATAGCAGTCTCCACTGGGTTTTCTTCTGCATGTTTCTTTTTAGCTAGTTCACTCGAAGCTTCATTATACGTGTCTTTTGCTTAACTAAGCTCCTCCCCCCGTACCATCTGAGCAGGTTCCGCTCTGGAGACCTTAGGATCGGAGGCAAACATTGTCAAAGGGTGGAGTGCAGGAAGGCAGGGGCGGCAGCACAGGGCTGTTTACTGATCCTCGGGAAAGGTTCCTGAATGACTTGTTCTTACCACCAACTAACTGCTCATTCTCTAACAGCTAAGTGCTCACGAGAGAGCCGCACATTTGAGTGGAAGTCTGCGGGCTAAGAATAAAAGCCAAGGAGGCTTGTTCTGAGTCAGAAACTAACTTTAAATGTGACTGAGAGCAGGTTAGTCTTAGGTTTCTTCTCTCTTGGTAAATGGGAATAACAGTACCTATCTTTCAGAAGTTATGACCTAGAAGTTTGTAGTTGAAATTTTGCTTACAGTTGTATTTTGTTTTAAGATTTTTAAAAAATTTAACGCTTTAAGCCGGACATATATTCAGACCCAATCCTCATCATTCACTTCCTATTATTTTCTCAAAGTATTCTAAGTCAAAGGTTTAGCGAGGGGATATCTTGTAATAAATGGAATGTGCAGGGGTTCATTCGCTCCTTTAGCCAGCATTCACTGCTTACTAAATCCAGGAACCTAACCCAGCTAGGCCCCGGGGCTGTGGGGAGCAAGGAGATGCCACGGCCACCCTGGGAGCGTTTCCTGTTTTGTGGGGAAGGCAGGCACAGTAAAGCCCTGGAAACAGCAAACTGACGCAGGAACAGAAAACCAAACACCGCATGTCCTCACTAGTAAGTGGGAGGTACGTGATGAGAATTCATGAGCGCAAATGGGAACAGCAGACACTGGGGTCTACTTGAGGGTGGAGGGCGGGAGGAGGGAGAGGAGCAGAAAAGATAACTGTTGGGTACTGGGCTTAATACTGGGTGATGAAATAATCAGTACAGTAAAGCCCCATGGCACGAGTTTACTTATATAACAAAGCTTCACATGTAGGTAAGCCTGAGCCTATAATGAAACTTAAGAAAAGAAGCACATGCAGGTATCCCAAGTGCTCGGAGCAGGCAGCTGCAATTCCATTTTGGTTTGAAGATTTCAAAGACTTCACAGGGGAACAGGAATGGGAAAAACTGAAAAAATTGGGTTACAAACTAAACCAATGTGAAAGACGTATTAACCTTCCGAAGGAGTTCACATGTATATATATATACATTTTCAAATATGAGAAGTATCATTGTCTCTATTTTAAATATGGGGAAAGATGGTACTAAAAGGATGTGAATATATAATGTCAAGACAAAGAAAGTCTTGGGAGCCTAACTCCTAGCGAACGCTCTTCACATGAAAACAGTGCTCCTCGGTTCTCGTACCTGCCTAAAAGCTTCCTTGACTTCTTACTTCTCCTCTCTTTCACATTTGTAGATTACCCTTCCCTGGGAAACTTTTTTTTTTGAGACAGAGTCTTGCTCTGTCACCCAGGCTGGAGTACAGTGGCATGATCATGGCTCACTGCCACCTCAAACTCCTGGGCTCAAGTGGTCCTCCCACCTCAGCCTCCTCAGTACCTGGGACTACAGGTGAGTGCCACTATGTTCAGTGAATTTGTTTTGTTGTTTTTGTAGAGATGGGGTCTCACTATGCTGCCCAGGCTGGTCTCAAGTGGTCTCAGCTCCTGGCTCAAGTGATCTTCCCACTTTGGCCTCCCAAAGTTTTGGAATTATAGGTATGAGCCACTGTGCCCAAGCTCTTCTCTTTTTTTCTCCCCATGCAGATGTGGCCCAAGTTCTGCCTTCTTTCTTTCAACCCCATCGCCTTCCCCTGAGTATTCCTTTCAGGCTAAGCAGGGTGGCTGGCTGTGGACAAACAGTCACTCTCTGTGGCATCACAGCCTGTGGGGTCCTATGGCCGTCCCCCACTGGTCTTATCTCTGAGGATTCTTCTGAGAAGTTCCATAGCTCCAGCAGCAGGTTTGACTGACTCAGGGGATGATTCTTTTGTTTCTTTGGGTCTCAGTGACTCCTCCCCCCAAAGAACTTACATTGGATGGAGAAAGAAAAATTATCTCCACCTTGAGTGACCATTCCCCACTCTACAGGGTGATGACTTGATGTCATTCCTTCTTCACTTTCTCAATTCTGGAACCCCCTACATTGCTCAGTGCTTCTTCCACATCGTGTAGATTCTTTATTCTGGGCATTGAAAACTTCTTCCTCTAAATGTGGAGATTTTTTCTGCAGAGAACCACTCCACCTCCCTGTTACTGGTGACACACCTCTGACCAAAACAACTGTGTACAGGTCAAAACCTCAGTTCTTCAGGGTCAGGGTAGGAAGTCAGAGGTAAGAGATCCATAAATCTGTGCTTCTCCCAAGCCACAAGCTGTCTCTTTGGATTAGCAAAGAGTAGCAAATGGCTATGGGGCATGTCCATTGACTGAATTAGTGACGTACCTGTGTTAGGCCCTGCTGCGGACAGTGCCTCTCTTTGGAAGGACATGAGGTGATGCGAGAAGTCACACAACTCGCTGTGAGACCACAGGGGCGGGTAACAGCTCATCTGCCTTCATCACAAACCTCGAACCTTAGTCCTTTGGTGATGGCTTTGCCACAGACCTTTTTTAAATCTCTGGAAATTTTTTCAAACTTGGTTTAATTTCATTTTGCTGACTTCCGTTCCAGGTACTGGTGTCTGGTAATTCTGTTATAGCAAACTTTCTCTTGAGGGTTTTGGGGAAAAGAATAAGACATTCTTCACATTGACTCTTTTTAGAGAGAGATAAGGCTGGAGTTCAGGAGTGCAAATGGATAGACAGGCACAAGAGACAGCTGTCTTTGAACAGATCCCAGAGTGTCTTGGGCATTGGGCAGGGGATGGAGCTTGACCAGAAACCTAGTGAAGACTTAACCCCTCCCTGGCTCCCACCCACGGTCACTGCAGAATGAAATTCTGGCTCAGGGTCTGTCTCCCACATGGTCATCACGGCCACTGTGGCAGATTGCTCTGGCTTTCTAGGCACAAGGTTTCCTGAGAGGCCATGCTGGAGATCAGCACCAGAAACAATTAAAAACACCCTCAGACTGTTGTCATGATCACTTGTGAAGCCAAATGGAGAAGGAATGTGAGGGGTAAAGTGTGGAGGGGGCAGGGAGTGAGTAGGAAGAACGAATATGCAAGGTGTCATCTGGGAGAGTGTGGGCCCATTCACAAGAATGCTGCAAAGTGCAGAGAGGGCGTGGGGTGTCTGTGTGAACCTGAAATGGGCTCAGATGACTGTTAATTTATTCTAGGTCAGAATTTCCCCATCCATTCTGTGACCTTCCATAGGAAAAGCTGTACTTTTGTTGAGTGTATTTTCAATGTATTGTGTATGTGTTTTTGAAGTTAAATGTGTGTGTGTATATTTTTAAAATCAAATTTTAAATGTAATATGAATCTTTGCTAAATCAGAAGACCTCTCCTGAGTGCTCCAGGATTAAATTTAGTAGGTTTTTATTAGTACAGTAACAAGGGTGAATAGGTGAAAATGAATGCTTGAGGTTTGGAAGGCTGTATCCTCTCCTGAGTTTCTGGAACGTCCTATGACAAGAGAGTTCTGGCTTCCTAAGAGCTAATGGTTGAAGAACTTGGGATGTTTCACTTGGGGCAGGCTAAGAGATGACTGAATTTCATGAATAAATATAAATGACAATAACACATGGCTTCAGATTTGCATAGGCCAAATCAAGACTAAGTGAGCTGAAATAGCAGCAGAGAGAATTTTGATTAAAACAAAACTCACACACACATATTGTGTCTTTTTTGCTGCTCCAGTCCTGGCAGACTCTGGGTGAATCCAGTGTTTGGCAGGGACAGGTGTCTATGAAGATGTGGGTAGAGGTAGGTAAGCAGACTGAACACCCAAGATCCAGCTGATGTTATTTCTAGGGGGCTACTCCTTTTCCTTTCTGACCTTACCCAGCCAGAGTTGAAGCTGCACCTTCTTACAGTAAATACCAGCAAAGCTCCACCTAACAGGGCCTTCCCAAAAGAGTACCCTGGACAGAATCCTCCTGCCCACAACCCAAGTTCCATTTGACTCAAGGCATCCTGGACAGAATCCTCCTGCCCACAACCCAAGTTCCATTTGACTCAAGGCATCCTGGACTTCCCTCAAATTAGTATACGCCTAGAAGATACTTTCTGTCCATAGACAACAGAAATCCTCATTGCCTTACAAACATGAAGAATGTCAGGAGTCCATTATGTGTCATGGGCTGAGCCTCCGGAGAACTAAGTTCTACCCTGGTTATGTTGTGAACTGGCCGTCAAGTAAGGGTGAGTGGCGTATCCTCTTTGGGCCTTGCTATCATCGCCTGTATCATGAGGGATATTTGACTAGATAACCGTTAAGATCTTTCACAGCACTGACATTTTATAATTCTCCTGCGACTTGTGCTTTCCCTGTTCTACACTTAAGTCAAGGGTCCAAATAGGGTCACGTTAACAATGGCAATTCTGTCCATGGGCTCCTGCATCCTCCACCCTCTCTGTGAGCTGTCTCCCCCAGGTTTTATCAGGAAGCCTCAGGGGTCTTTTGCATGTGCTCACGTGATCCCACTGGACGCTGCCCCATGAGGGTGCTAATGTCTGCCAATGCTGCTGCCCTCATGTCCCCAAAGATATAGACAGTTGCAGTCTCAGAAGAATTCAGGATCCCCTAAATGCTGCAATATTAGCACAGAAGCAGACAGAATGTTACTCTTTCCCACTTGAGTTACCTTTTCTCTGGCATGAAATCGTGTTGTTCGCATCTCTTCTAGCTTCTGAAACGCTCTTGCAGCTTCAGTGTGCGGCTTCTTTTTACCTGGAGCCAAGGGAGGAGCCTGCTGACGTCTGAAGAACCCAAGCCCATTCCATTCCAGGGTATAGACTCCAGCCCAAAAAAATACCATTCCAAAGTGACCCTTGCCCCACCTTTCTGTGACACACACCCAGACAGGTCTGAATTGCTGAAGTGAATGCTATTTAGGCTGAAATGGGGGACCCTGATATGCTATTTAAAGAAAAAAGAAATGAAAAATCACAGGAATCTTGAAGCTATTCATCTTGAAGACCATTCACGGAAGCAGTGAGATTAAACACAGCATCCTTCAATATATTCCCTCCACGGAACCTTGGGCTATTGTTCCCTCATAATGCCAGTTTACCTCTGGGAGTTTCAGAGGCGGGTACTCATGTCTGCTCAGCACAGTCACCATAGCACTGCATCAGATCAGGGGGAAACGAGAAAAAATCTATTGTCAGGAAGCCTGAGGGCTGACCCAAACACAGCAGAGCTACAGAACATTATTTCAGAAACGATTTCTTACATCGCTGCCTGCAATTGTTCAGCCTGATTCTTAGACAGGACTGGAAGCGGAAAATCACCCGTTCAGCAGAGAAGGCTTCATGTTGCTATTTTATTAAGGACAGAAACATGTAGAGAAAAAAACCCATGGATCTGCCTCACTTTCTGCTCCCCTCTTCACTCTTCTCTCCAGGTCTCAAGCACTCTTTGTGTTCTTTTTTTTTTTGAGACAGAGTTTCGCTGTTGTTACCCAGGCTGGAGTGCAATGGCGTGATCTCAGCTCACCGCAACCTCTGCCTCCTGGGTTCAGGCAATTCTCCTGCCTCAGCCTCCTGAGTAGCTGGGATTACAGGCACATGCCACCATGCCCGGCTAATTTTTTGTATCTTTAGTAGAGACGGGGTTTCACCATGTTGACCAGGATGGTCTCGATCTCTTGACCTCGTGATCCACCCGCCTCGGCCTCCCAAAGTGCTGGGATTACAGCACTCTTTATGTTCTTTCTATGGGGCAGTTGTCAGTAGGAGAAAAGACTATTTTGATTTAAACCCACACCTTCCTTTTAAGGAGGTCCTTTCTGCTCACCTGCTCATTCAATTAACCGGGGGCACTCAGAGGGGAGGAAATCCAACAAGCAAAAGAGGGACCCTCAAATGATGCATGCAGAATCTTTAGTGGTGAATTGTTGAGCTGGAAAAATTGTCAGTGTGAAATCTAAAATGGGTTCTGTCATTTGTAAGATCCTTTAACTATCCTACTTCTCTTAATAACCACGTGGGCTATCCCAAAACAGATCTATGTGCCCTATTAGAAGACACAGAGGGTGTTATGAATGTGTGTTGAAGCCACACTTTGAGCAAGATTGTGCTTCTCTAGAATCATGATCTGTATCAAAACTTTCTGGCTGAATTGTTCATGTTACTAGTAAATCAGTTTCTTTTTAAGAGAGTGTAGTAGATGCTGTGGAGGAATCCTGCCAACGGCAAGAGTGAAGATGAAGCTCTATATGAAATAAGGGAAAGGGCGGACCTGCCACCACGGAGCTAGTCCACTTCTATGGACAAAAGTCAGCTTCTGGGCCTCATTCATTCATTCACTTTTCATTTATTTGCCCATCCATCCACTCCACACATATTTCTGGAGCCCCTACTAAATGCTAAGCACTGCAAGTCTTAGGGACAGATCAGTGAACAAAAGAGACAAGCTTGCTGCCTTTTTGGAGCTTCCAGCCTAGAAAGGGAGACAGTCTAATGTGACACAAACAAATTATGTAATTGTGATCACAGTAAGTGTAGGGAAGGAAGAACATCGGGTGCTATAAAAGCAAATAGGAAGAATGGTGAAGGGTCAGAAAAGTTTCCATGAGGAAAGCTGAAGGCTTAGCCAGATGAAGGGGAGGGGAGCCCGGGGAAATGATCTAGGCAGGAAAAGATCCACGACTGAAGGGAGAGGCAGGCAAATATATGTGTTGTGTGCGTGCATATGAATCTCAATAAAATGAAATAGTAAGAAGCAAGTAAGCAAAACTCAGTGAAGAGAAGGGAAAACAAAATACAAATCAACCCCAAGAATATGCTCCGAAAAGTTGCCAACTGTGGTGGCAGGGGAGTGAGTGCAGGGTGTCCTATACGCAGGCTAGCTTCCGCCCCTCCCACATTGAAAGAAAAAGGCATTTTGTGGAAGGATGACATTGTCTTTCATTACCGAATCTCCAAATGGTGCCCTGAGTCAGATGGATGCTATGAATTCTTTATACATTTGATGTGGTTATCAATGGGTAGAATGGCAAAGTTGGAGGTGGATATAGGGCGGATCACAAGGTCAGGAGATCGAGACCATCCTGGTCAACAAGGTGAAACCCCGTCTCTACTAAAAATACAAAAATTAGCTGGGCATGGTAGTGCATACCTGTAGTCCCAGCTACTCAGGAGGCTGAGGCAGGAGAATTGCTTGAACCTAGAAGGCGGAGGTTGCGGTGAGCCAAGATCGCGCCATTGCACTCCAGTCTGGGTAACAGCAGCGAAACTCCGTCTCAAAACAAAACAAAAAAAAGTGGGGGAGGTTATTATGGAAATTGCATTAGTGGCTGTTTAAGAGGAGAAATAGGACAGGTGCTGTGGCTCACTCCTGTAATCCCAGTATTTTAGGAGGCTGAAGTAGGAAGATTGCTTGAGGCCAGGAGGTTGATACCAGCCTGGGCAACATAGCAAGACCTCACATAATGCCTCCCCCGCTTTTTTTTGTTTTGTTTTGAGACGGTGTTTCGCTGCTGTTACCCAGACTGGAGTGCAATGACATGATCTTGGCTCACCGCAACCTCCACCTTCTAGGTTCATATATGAAGTTTACTAAATATCAATTATTAATATATAATATAATTATATATTAATATATAATATAATTATATATATTATATAAATATATATAACATAATATATAACAACCAACTTGTGTTGTACCTTTTATATGATATTCTATATTATATTATGTAAAAGGCACAGTTGTCCCACACAAACATCTCCTGCTTTAAAGAAAGGAGGAATGTAATATTCATCTAATAAATGCAAAGTCCTAAATTAAGTATGTTTAATTGGTTAGCTTCTCTAATAAAATCTCTTATCCAGAATAATATCTTGGTCCATACATTGAGTCAGTAAAATAATACCACAGAGTCAAAAGATAGAAAATGGTAACCAGTAATCCATTAGGGAAGAATTCTATGTTTGTGATCACAAAGTCGCTTCCAGTTGGTTTTGACTCTAGACATATCATTTCACTCTTCTGGCCTCAGATTCTACATCTGGGAGATGAAGGGGTTATAGCTGACGGTCTCTGTACGTTCCCCTCTAGCTTTCAAGTTCAGTCAGATAACAGGTCTTGAAGGTATATTTGCGACCAGCCCATCCATCCTTTCCTTCTTGGTCAATAATCCCCAACTGTCATTCTCACCTGCTGGTTATTTCTTAACTTCGATTTCCCACTGTCCCTACAGGAACTTAGAAATACTGAAGGGAATATCTAATATTCACAAGTCCTGGGCCTGAGCGCCCCCTGGGCACACAGAGATAAACTGTTGTAGCCCTGGAAGAAATCAGGGCTCTGGAAAGCTGGGGTCTAACTAAAGTCAGCACCAAATCCCTGAATTTCCCTGTTTGTACTATGAGACAAGAAATGTGGGACTTTCCGGACTTGGGCAGGAAAGGAGCTTGGAAGAATGAGAAGGACGGGGTGGAAGCTCTATCATCAAACAGGCTCTGCAGGGCTCCGCAGGGCTGTTCCCCAGCAGGTACATTCAGAAGGGAAGAAGGTACCATAGACCCTTGGCAGATGCTGCTCAGTGGACATAAATCAGTGGCCACACAGTGAGTGTACAGGGGCTAAAGGGAAGCCACTTGAAAAAATGTGCTGTTCAGCTGAATCAGCTCACAAGCAACAGTCCGAAGTTTACTAAATATCAATTATTTGTGTTGCCCGCATTTTCCTCCAGTCCCAATAAACACCATGTGTGCGTTTCAACAGAGATTTTATCTTTGCGTACTTGCCATTTTTGATGCTTTCTTTCATCTTTTACTGTTTTGTATACACACCTTCTGCATTCCTAGGCATATAACCATTATTTTAAGCCTTTTAGGATATGGCATCCTGTAGTGAGACACTTTTTGAGAAGTAGAGTATGTGCAGGAGCATGCGTATGTGTGTGGTGTGTATGCACTGCATGTTTGTGTCTGTGTGTATGTATGTGGTGTACATAAGTGTCTTCATGTGTACATATATGGTGTATGTATTGCATGTGGGGATGTATTGGGTGTGCACGTTTCTGTGTATGTGTATATTGGATGTGTATGTGTGGTATATGTGTTTCTCTGGGTCTGTGGGTGGTGCGTCTATCTGTGTGTATATTTGTGTTATGTATGTTTGTGGGTCTGTGGATGTTTATTGGGTTGTGTATGTGTGTAGTTACATTTCTGTGTGTGTGGTATGTGTGGTGTATGTGTCTCTCTGTGTTTGTGTGTGGTCTATATGTATTGTGCTATGTATGTTTGTGGCTCTGTGAGTGTTTATGTGGGCTATGCATGTGTGTAGTGTGCATGTTTGTGTCTATGTGTGTCTGTGAGTCTATGTGTGGTGTATGTGTCTGTGGTGTGTCTGTGTGTGTATTTGTGCTGTGTGTGTGTGGCTCTGTGGTGTTTATTGAGTTGTGTGTGTGGCTCTGTGTGTTTATTGGGGGGGGTGTGTGTGTGTGGCTCTGGTGTTTATTGGGTTGTGTGTTTTTATGTCTCTGTGGTGTTTATTGGGTTTTGTGTGTGTGTGTCTCTGTGGTGTTTATTGGGTTGTGTGTGTGTGTGTGGCTCTGTGGTGTTTATTGGGTTGTGTGTGTATGTGTGGCTCTGTGGTGTTTATTGGGTTGTGTGTGTATGTGTGGCTCTGTGGTGTTTATTGGGTTGCGTGTGTGTGTGTGTGGCTCTGTGGTGTTTATTGGGTTGTGTGTGTGTCTCTGTGGTGTTTATTGGGTTGTGTGTATGTGTGTCTCTGTGGTGTTTATTGGGTTGTGAGTGTGTGTGTGTCTCTGTGGTGTTTATTGGGTTGTGTGTGTGTGTCTCTGTGGTGTTTATTGGGTTGTGTGTGTGTGTGTGTGTCTCTGTGGTGTTTATTGGGTTGTGTGTGTCTCTGTGGTGTTTATTGGGTTGTGTGTGTGTGTGGCTCTGTGGTGTTTATTGGGTTGTGTGTGTGTGTGTCTCTGTGGTGTTTATTAGGTTGTGTGTG